TGTATTTAATTGTATTGTCAACCCCTGAAAATACACTCATGGAAAAAAAGCGCACCAAGAAACAATTATGGGATCATAACGAATCTTGGCATGAAGGTGCATTTGGGGTAGATATGCAAATGATTAGAAATGCAGCGTGATTGTGCATTACGTATAGCCGGTAGAGTGCGTTTAACGTCGTTCTCCGTGGAGTATAAAACAGGTAGCCAAAGTTTGCTTCAGTGTGCTGAATCGTTTATAAAGGACGAGCTAACGTAGACATGCCATTTTCGAAGATAATATGAGCTGCTGTTGCAATTTGAGAGAGGGAGAATCATCGGCATGATGAAAGATGGGTGGTCAGCTAGGAAAGTAGCTCGTCAATTAGGCCGTTCTGATTGTGTTGTGAGGAGGTGTTGGGACCATTGGAGCCGAGAGATGTTATTTACACGAAGACCAGGCTCAGTATGCCCTCGACAGACAAGTGATCGAGATGACCTCCGCATTGTAAGAAATGCACGAGTACAGCCAACTGCTTCATTGGCCGCCTTACAGACACAGGTAGCACCTTCACTAGGGGCACCTATGTCTTCTCGAACCATACGAAGGCACCTGTCTGAAGAACATTAGGGATCGTGGCGCCCATTACGTATGCTGCCCTTGACGCCCACCCATCGACTCCACCTTTTGGCGTGGTGCCGCGCACCATGAAACTGGACTGCAGCGGAATGAAACCAGGTCGTCTTTTGCGACGCGCGCGAGAGAGAGAATCCAAATTCAATCTCAACAGTGATGACAATCGTGTTCGTGTGTGGAGACCCCATGGTAAACGCCTCAGTCCTGCCTTTGCTTTACAGCGACACGCCGTTCGCACAGCTGGTGCGATGGTATGGGGTGTCATTGCCTACACTACAAGTTCACCCCCTAGTATTGATCCGTGTCACCATGACAGTCCAGTCATCCTGCAACCACGTGTTGCCATTCATGCAACGGCTCCCAGGAGTCATTTTTCAACAAGACAATGCTCGGCCTCACACGGCAAGGGTGTCACAATACTGTCTCCACACTGTTACTACCCTTCATTCGCCTATCCGATCCCCAGATTTGTCTCCAATTGAGCATACCTGGGGTCATTTAGGATGTCTAGTTGGGCATCCCATCAATTTGAACGAACTAGAGGCAAGATTACAGCAAATATGGAACGAAATGTCTCAAGACATTATACAGAACTTGTATGCCTCAATGCCCAATCGTATCGCACTAGAGGGGGTTCAACAGGGTATTGAATCCTCCGTTCTTTTGTCTTTTTCTTTGAAATAAATTATCCTTTTTCTTTGATTTTCTAATCATTTACTTATATTAAAGTAGTTATTACGAATGTAAAATTTCGTTTCATTTTGACGACTCCTTCTTGGTGCGCTAATTTTTTGGTCCATGTGTATATAAATAATGGAAACAATTTTTAAAAAATTCTAGCAAATACCGAAAAACGGTATTTAAACTTATAAATAACGTTATTACAAAATTGTCCAAATGGCTCAAATTACCGGTATTCGGTATCCCGGTATACCAGTATTGCAATCCCAACCCTTTACCATATACCATATTTATATACAAGGAAATTATTCTTTTCATACTATGTGTGTATGTAAAAGATATACAACATCAATAAAAATTTCTTTAATAACAATTAAACGTTTTTATTCCTGTATGTTATATTCATATATTGTGAAATTATGGCTTAATGCCTGTGTAATTACTGACAATTTTTAAAAATAAAAAACACGTTTTCATGCATGCTATCTTATTCTTTTTGAAAACACATATTGCATGCTTGACTTAATCTAAAAAAAAATTTCATGGAATTCCCAATTTCATTGTGTTTAATTAGAACTATTATTATACTTTTTGAGAAACGATACGGTAATTATTCAGGAACTGATAATCACTTAAAAGTATTAACCTCTATCCCTTAATAAATGTCGCATCATTCATCTCAGCTGATGAAAGTGATAAAAAGTTTTGACTTTATAAGAGTGATTTGTCTTCCTAGCTCACAAATTTTCAAGATCATGGTAAGTGCCATTGCATATTTATGAAATCTATTGTCTCTTGCTGAGGTTGAACTTCAAACTACCTTACATTTCATATTTTAACACCAGTCTATTAAAATATTTAGTGTTTAGGTTAAGTTATATCACCAGTTCCAGAGAAAAATATATGCTTTAAGGTAAGATTTTCTTCATTTCAATTCGCTAAATATTTTACTGGATATTTTTTTCCTTAGATAATAATTATATAAACCATTTTATATGATTATTTCTTAATATTTCTATAAACAGAGCTTTTATATATACTTTAAGTTTATATTCTTAAGGTATCCAACTACGTTTGGAACCACGATTTTGAAAAAGCGTACAAATGAATTTTTTTTAATATTTCGTACCACTTAGATTAGAATATACGTATATAAATTTGCTTTAAAACTATTTTTACAATAAAAAATTATTTAAATGCAACGTTTTGGTAAAAAAGTGACCATTGAGTTACTTATTTTAAAACCTTCGCCTTTTATGGAAAATACTTCCATAATAACAATAATATTTTGCTTATGTATAGCGCGGATCTCTCTGTGCAGAATCTTAACTAGGATTTTTGAGCTGTATAACTTAGAAGTGGATTTATCCATATTTCAGTATATTAGAGTGGAGAAATTTTAATAAAACACCGGTAATTATTTTCAATTGGTAATCACTGAAAAAAATAGGAATTTTTCAAAAATTCTAGTTGCGGCACTATGAAGAAGTGTTAGCTATATATAAACAAAATATTATTATTATAGAAGCATTTTTCATAAAAGGAGAATGTTTTGAAAATATGTAATACAAACTTAATTTTTAGCCAAAATATTACATTTAAATATTTTTTACAGTAATGATCTTCTGAAAACAATTTTATACGTGTATTCTAATCTAAGTGACACGAAATATTAAGAGAAATATTCGTTTGTACGCTTTAGCAAAATCATGATTTCGAACGTAGTTTGATACCTTAAGAGAGTGGTCCTCAGAACCCTGGGGTTCCCCAAGGCATACCCAGAGGTTCCACGAATGACAATAAAAAAATCTAGAAGAAAAACATGTATGCAAAATGTGGATTCACGTTCTCTATGAAATTTGTATTGTTACAAGTATCTAAAGCTCAACTTATTCATTTAAATTGAAAAGTTTGCTTTTATGTAATAACTTTATTTTGCAATACTTTTTAAAGATTTATTATAATATAATAAAGGAATATTAAGACGCACGCGTTTTATCTATATATATATGTACATCCTATTAGATGGTAAATATTCTATTGTTTATTATCTCGAGTTCCACGAGATAATTTTATAGTCGTTAGTTAGCACAATGTCTTGCAAAACTAAATATTTTTCTCGTAAAAAATTCCCATTTTTACATTTGTTGAAAAAAATACCTAAAATGAAGGAAGGAGAACAACATATCAACAATCTAATATTAAGCAAAAACGGCTTCTAAATTTTAGGTTGCAAATTCTTCCTCAAGCAAAATACACGGGATTTCTCACACAGCGATAAACATTTTAATGCCATTCAGAACATTGTGTTTAAGTGAAATATATTTTTTAACGTAAGTGACTACAAAATCAAAATATATAATAAAAATTTAAGTCAGAATATCTAATGCTATTGTATTTAATCTCAATAGACAGACTTTGACACATTGTGTAAAAAATACTAGCATGTATCCCAGTTACTAAATATAATGCATGGGTTGCTGACACTTGAATAACAAATTAATATTATTAATGAGTAAATTATATTTTTAAAATTAGATTAGAAGTTTTTAATAATAAATTAAATATTTTTTAAATTGCTTTTACATGAAGTGCCTATAACATGTTGATCTACTTTAAATATTATTTTGAGATACATTCTTCGAAGTATGGGTATGAAATGGGATTCCACGAAAACACTTTCTAGTTCTAGGGGTTCCACAAAAACACCTTCAAGAACTAGGGGTTCCGTGAGTTGAAAAAATTTGAAGACAACTGCTTTAAGATATCCAACTACGTTCGGAACTATGATTTTTAAACAGTGTACAAATGAATAATTTTTGTGATGTTTAGTGTTATAATTGTTTTAAGAATATTATTGCAATAAAAATGACTTAAATGCAATTTTTTTTACCAAAAAAATGAAGAACTAAGAATATGTTTTCATAACATTTTACTTTTATGGAAAATACTTTTTTAATAATAAAATTTCCTTTTCTGTTACTCATTTTTATTCGGTTTCATATAATTAAAACTTTTGTACACACACACACACACACAGAGAGAGAAAGGGTCTGAATTATTATTTTTTAAATATATAATACAGAAGTGGATTTATAATCATATTTAAATATATCAGAGTAGAGAAATTGTAATAAAAAGCACCAGTTATAATTTGAATTGCTAGTAACACTAAAATTTGTAAGTAACACTGTTGATTTTTTCAAAATAGTAATTCGGGCTCCGAAAAGGAACCTTAGCTGTATATAAGTAAAATATTATAATTATAAAACCTTTTCCGTTGAAAATACGCCTTTTTTTTCTTGATTTGCCAAAAAATTGCATTTAGGTAATTTTTTACTGGAATAATAGTTATAAGACAATTTCATTTGTACATTGTAATTTAAGTGACACTAAATACCACACATACACACAAGTAATATAAAATAAATTTTAAGTCAATTCCTACTTAGATCAACAAAGAAAAATTTTATTTTAGTTAGTTTTTATTTATAATTACAATTAATATAAATATATATATAAACATATGACAGAATCACAATATTAAGTGACAAAATAGAAAGCTATTTTCCTTGCAATTTTCCATTTTCCTTTCCTTATGGGATGTTGGAATATTATTTTAATTGTAATATTATTTATTCATTAATTTAATTATTCCAATAAAATAGTATAGTAAAAAGAAATCACATTCTCAGAAATTAGGCCATCCCAGGTGGAATCCGAACCCACGTCCTTTGGATTAGTAGTCCAACGCGCCATCCATTGTGCTACATGGACGCAACGAACATTTCTATATATGCTGTTATACTACTATTTTTGTTTGTTACTATTTATTCATTAATTAAATAATATTAATGAATTAATGTTTGAATACAATATATATGTATATTCAGCCATTCCCATGCTTTGAATTTGCATTTGGGTCCAAAATCTGGTAGTAACTTATTTATTGTACTCAGATATTTAGCACGGGCTCTACATTTTTGAATGCAATTTGTAGGTAAGTTACCATTGTGTATTGTAATGGATTTAGATATTCTATCCATTATTTTCAAAAGGTTTTTGCTTAGTGTTATTAACATAAAGGAGGAAGATTGGATGTCCACAAAACATGTTCAATCCCACTTTTATATAAAATATTTTATGTATAAGCTGTTCTAAGTCTGAAATATTTATAATACTGTAGCATCCATTTTATATATACACTCTGTCGCAAAAAAATATATGCACCCAGAAGAAATCAAGCTACAATCACGAAACTTGGCAAGAATGTAGTCTGGTAAGAGATATGCAAATGATTAAAATTTCGAAGCCAATGAGACAAGGCTAAGTGTGCTATGCGCATATTAGTTGCGCAACTGGGAGAGTTTAAAAGCATGAGTACGAGCGCCGTACGGCTATCCAAACGAATCTGATGACTTTGATAGACAATATTGAGACTTAGGATGCCTCTAAGACGTAACCGGCGGCAGTACGAGCAGCTGACGGACTTTGATAGGGGCCGTATAATAGGCCTCAGAGAAGCAGGTTGGTCGAATAGACGTATCGGCCGCCACCTCGGTCGGAGCGATATGGTAGTTGCTCGGTGTTGGCAACAGTGGATCACAGAAGGTAGAGTGTACCGTCGCGGAGGGTCAGGACGTCCCAGGAACACAAATGATCGCGAGGATCGTGCAATCAGAAGAGTGGCCACTTCGGCACCAACAACGTCGCTAGCATCGATTCAATGCCACTTACCTCCTTCCAGACATCCAGTGCCATCAAGAGAAACCATAAGGAGACGACTGACCGAAGTTGGCTTGAGGAGCCGACGTCCGCTAAGACGCTTACCACTGACCCCACATCATAGGCAGTGTCGACTGGATTTTGCTGACCTCGGGCAACTTGGAGTGTGACAGACTGGAGACGTGTCATCTTCAGTGATGAATCCCGATTCAGTCTCAGTGCTGATGACCACCGCACACGTGTCTGGAGGCGCACCGGCCAGCGGTCCGATCCGGCATTTATTGTCGAGCGGCATAGCAATTTCACAAGATGTGACAGTGTGGGGAGCAATTTCTTGGGACACACGATCATCTTTAGTGGTCCTTCAAGGCACTTTGATAGCTCGCAGATACGTGGACGATATTTTAACGCCGATTGTGCTACCCATGCTATCAAGTCGCCCAGGTGCCATTTATCAACAGGATAATGCTCGTCCACATACTGCGCGACTCTCCCAACAATGTCTTCAAGGATATGACGTCCTACCATGGCCTGCCAGGTCACCAGATCTTTCGCCAATAGAGCATGTCTGGACGCGCTGGGAAGGCAACTGCAGCCGTCCCGAGATACAGGAGAATTAACTGCGCAGATGCAAAGACTATGGCAGGATCTTCCACAGAGGGTCATAAGTGATCTAATTGAATCGATGCCACGCCGAATTTCGGCTTGTATAGCTGCCAGAGGTGGCTTTACTACTTACTGATTTTTAACCTTTTGCAAGCTGTAACCGCTTAATAAAATGATATTTTGTTCTGAATTTTTAATCATTTGTTTATTTTCATATACACTACATGCATACCAAATTTCGTGAATGTAGCTCAATTTCTTCTGGGTGCATATATTTTTTTGCGACAGAGTGTATATATATATATATATTCTTAACCCTATTATAATTTTAATTTCTCATATATCCTTCTATGCCTAGTTTCTTACAATATCAATTTGTATCACTTTTGTTAGATTAATGTTCATCTCTCATTAGTAGAGAATTTACACGGTATATATTGTAACGGGTCTATCCGCGAACCTTCAACTAATCCTCTTGGGTTAAATTTATTCTTTTTAACTCTATGTTCTATTGAAAACTTTCTCCCGAAGAAGACTTGAATTATTCGAATGAGTTGTTATATTTAAGAGTGGACATTTAGGTACGCGATGTGTGTTAGTCGAAAGTTAGTCGACGGATAGGCGCTAGAAGGTCAATTATTGATAATTGGAGAATACGTTTTCAGATTGAGCTTAAGAAGTACGACCGTAGGTCCTACAAGTAAGAAATTTACCGTGAAGTCTAGCGTAGAAGTCCAGAGTACTCCAAGAGTAAGTGGAGTAGATTATACACATATGTTAAACATCCTTAAGCCACGTGATTGCTCTTCTAATTAGTTACGTAGTGCATTTCCTACCATTAGTTGTTTGGTTTAAATCAATGGTATAGTAAATCTGAGTTTGAAACTGGTTATGGCTGAGATTTACTCGAACCCCCAAACACCAACAACATCTAGACGGTTGTTACAATAGATATTAGGTTAGGGAAAAAGAAATCCATTTTTTTTTCTTTTGCATGAAAATCAAGACTTAATTTAACATGCTTCCGATTGTCCATTTTGGGTCAAATATGTATCGTTTTGTTGCATAATTTATTACCATTTTAAAGATAGCTTCATAATGCCTCTCTCATAGAAGTCTTGGCCCTATGAGAACATCTAGTAATCGATTTTCACAATCTTCTCTTGATCCCATTTTCTTATCACTTAGGAAGTTTTGCAATACGAGAAAAAGGTGAGAATCGCTTAGTGCCAGGTCCGGACTATGTTGTGAATGCATTAAATTTTCTCAACCAAGCTCCCAGAGGTTCTGGAGAGTCAATACAGAAGTATGTGGCCTAGCGTTGTCCTGATGGAACACAACACCTCTTCTTTTGGTCAATTCTGGCCCATTTTTGGTCATTAGTTAGCTTCAAAAAGTCCTGTTGTTGACAGTAGAGACCTGAATTTAGTGTTTGGCCATGCGGAAGCTGCTCCTTATAAATGATTCCTTTCCAGTCCCATCAAATACACAGTTGAACCTTCCTGGTCATTAGTCCTGGTTTGACCACCGTTTGAGCTGCTTCACCGCACTTTGACCACGATCGTTTTCCCACAATATTGTAGTATGTGACCCATTTCTCATCCCCAGTCACCATCTGTTTAAGAAATGAGTCGATTTCATTCCGTTTTGCCAAGGTTTCGCAAATGGAATCTCGATCCAAAATGTTTTTTTGGTGTTAAGTGGTGTTGCACCCAAAAATGAGCTTCTTTTTAATCCAACTTTGCGCAAATGGCTTAAAATTGTTTTATGGTCGATCTTTAGCTGCTGGACGATGCTACGACTACTAACATGTCGGTCAACTTCGATTATTTCTGTGATTTTATCAACCTTTTCGACGACGGGCCTGCCTGTGTGAGTTGCATCTTTAACATCAAAAATACCTGAACGGAATCGACGAAACCAAAATTGCACGTAATAAGCTGTTACAGTTTTGGCACCATAATCACCATTTGCAATTTCAGCCTCCTGGCTTGCATTTTCACTTTTATCAAAGAAACACTTTAAAAAGAATTTAGTCTTTGTTGACTTCCATTTTTAACACCCTGTAATTCACAACTAAATGGACCAAAGGAAAAAAAGCAAAACCATTTTTTTAGTGTAAAATGTCATCTTGACAACGAGCATAAATTTGAAATTGTTTGATCGAAACTTGACGAGATATTGACACTACAGCCATCTACCGAAAAAATAATGGATTTCTTTTTCCCCAACGTATATATATATATATATATATATATATATATATATATATATATATATATATATATATGGCATCCAGGAAATCCAATCGTTCTCGAGAAAACCACGCAATCTTCGCGCGCAGGCGCAGCTAAGTGAAACTAAAACTGAAACTTGTGAACTTTTAGAAAAGAGAAGGAAGAAAAACTGAGGTGCGCGAGCAGGCGTTACCGTGGACACATCATTCAAACCTATCTGTTAGAATAGCTACCTTTTTAATTAATTTTTGTTTAGTTTTTAATAAATATAAAGAAAGACAAATGTCTTGGACCCCTTGTTGTCTCCCACAAATTATGGGGGCTCGGCCGGGATCGAAAATATTTCGATTTGAACCAAAGTTTGGACAGTGAACTAAAGCAGCGTCCGTGAAGGAGACGCTCCGCCATTTTTTGGAAACTTCGTTCAACCTGTGTAGAGGTTTGAACTCAGCATGAATACTCCGCCTGTGTAGAGGCCGGGATTGAAAAAATTTCGATTTTGAACCAAAGTTTGGACAATGAACAAAAGCGTCCGTGGAGGAGACGCGCCGCCATTTTTTGGAAACTTTGTTCAACCTGTGTAGAGCTTGAATTTTTCGTTTGAACTCAGCATGAATACTCCGCCTGTGTAGAGGCCGGGATCGAAAAAATTTCGATTTTGATCAAAATTTGGAACGTGAACAAAAGCCGTCCGTGGAGGAGACGCGCCGCCATTTTTGGAAACTTCGTTCAACCTGTGTAGAGGTTGAATTTTTAAACTTCGTTCCGCCTGTGTAGAGGTTGGAACCACTGACTAAACACCTGCGAAGAGGTGTCCTGTTAATAATTACCAGAACTATATTACCTGCGAAGAGGTGAAATCACAGTGGAATCAACGTTTTTCTTCAATTATTGGATACATCGTACGTGCGAGCAACAAGGGAGCTAGAAAAAAAAGGTAGGATCTTTCCATATTTTTCTAAAATGTATAAAAACGCTCTTAAAGAGGATCTCATAAGAGTTGTTGAGGATCTAGACGGTACTGTGGAGAGTACGGACACCATAGCTAAACTAAAGACTAAAATTGAGAACAGTAGTACATTTGAAAGTGATCCAGATTTCGTTAAAACTTTAATTCAAAACTGTATAGATCAGAGGGTATCGCGAAACGAAAGAGAGGCAACTTTAGAAAAACAGAAAATTGAGCTCGCGAAACTACAGTTAGCAAAG